TGAGTATTGAAATAATATATATATATATATAGTAAAACGGAAACCAACATACTTTTAAAAGTCATTTGTTAGGTACGCCACCGATTGCACAACTTATTTTTCCCTGGAAGTGGCTTGGGGGTGTTGGCGTACTATATTCCTGCTATATCTTTGCTTTTTCAAAAAAAATATATATAAACTAATGAAAAACCAAAGTCAATCACCAATTTTTTTAAGAATTTTCAATGAGAGATCGTATACCTCATTCCAACACAAGTTTGTACCCAAAAAAAATACGATGTATAAAAAAATTAGATTTAATCTTAAATCTTAACTAGTAGAATAATCCTACTATATAAAAACTTAAAAGAAAAAAACAAAAAGCTGATCCATAATTTATAGAAATTTTTTTATATTAATTTCTTTAAAAAAAATTACTTTTAACATTCTTTCAAAAGAAAAATATTTTTAACATAGGATCTATTTGGTTCAAAAAAAGAGATGAATTAAAAATTTTATTTGGTTAAGGAAAGAAAAGGTAGCTCTTTTCTTATTTGTTTCACAAGGAAATGAGAGAAATTTTAAAAATCAATTTACATTCCTACCCTTATAATTTTGAGCTTAAAAATACAAATAAAAATATTTTATACATTATACTAAAAATGTTTTAAAACTCCTCTCATCCTCTCTAAATCCCTCAATATTATAGGGAAGATAAAATTACATGAAGAGTAAAAATTGAACCAAACAAAAAAAGGTTTATAAAAATTTCTCCACCTTATTCTCTTTCAATCAAACACTACGTTTTATACAATTAATTGTAACTAATGGATAAGTTCATTTTATTTTTCTTTCTTATGGTTTTCTTCTTCTTCTTTTTTCATTCAGAACGTGTCCACCCTAGAACGAGGAAAAGTTCAAGTTAGGAATGCTAAATTGAGCCCAATTAAGCCGAATTGGAAATGCAATTCAGTTCAACTGAACCAAAACTTTGAATTTCCAGTTAACTAGCATTGAACTGCTTCAGAAGTGATTAATTAGTTTTTCATGTAACCAATAAAGAAAGCAGTTAAAAAAGCAGTTATCAAAAACCATTTTAAAAACTTGTTCTGCCTGAAGCCATTTCAGATTCATGAATCCAAGACTGTCTTCTTGAGGGTGTAGGCTATTTCTCTTTTTCTGTGTTTTCCTCTTTTTCAACTCTGTATTACCCACAAAAAAAAAACAATTTTGTTTTTTGCTTTCCAAACAATTTAAAACAATTTATCTGCACTACTATAAATCTACCTTTCAAGAAAGATTGAGGTGTCCACAATTACAATTTGAGAATACTTTTTACTTACATTTTATTTACTTTTTTTCAAAGTTTGTATAAGAAATAGTGAAGACGGTATTTTATTATTTTCTGTTTTCATTTTTTCCTTGCGTAAACCTCAGAAAATGGTAAATATAGTGAAAATACAGAACAATTTTTCAAACCAATTGACCTTTGATTCCTATGAAAAACCTAAACATAAAGTCAAACATAATGGTACGTAGTTTTTAGCAATGATTAAAAGAAAAAAGAGAGAGGGAGCTATGCCTGTCATTTACGAATTAATGACAAAGGAACTGTTAGTTTAACATGATCTTTTGAAATGGTTACATGATTCTGGTCCACAAACCCTGCACTAATAAAACAAGGGAATAAAACACATCTTCCTGAAAGACATAGCTAATTGGATTTCTTTTGTAAATCAAGGTGACAAATCTTATAACTGGCTCCTCAGTATGTGAAATTTGCAAGGTTTTTGTGCCCCCAACATCTGTTATATTAACTATAAAAAAAAATGTTCAAGATCAAATTTTAGACAAATTACGATTTACTTAAAGTTGATTAAAAATTATAGGCAGTGTATGTGAGTTTATTCTCTGGATACCATGGGAGCCAAGATGAGACTTCTGCACACAAAAGATGTAATTTTGGAAGGGGCATGAGCAAATTTACACTATATTAACTACAAGTTGAAAACTTTTGCCACAAATTTATAAATTATCACTCTGTACAAGGGAATCTCGTGAACCAGACTAAGCTATGTACTAACCCAAAAAGTCAGAATTGTCGTGGTGAGCCAAATGGACCTCCCTAGAAACTACATCACATTCACGGCTCACTTTGCCTGATTTTCCTGAAGAACATTTGAATCATCAATATGACAATCTGCAGGTTTCTCAGGTTCACCCTGTGAAAACAACTCAACCAATTCAGCGTATTTTTAAAGCAAATATAATTCAGACCAAAATATACAGGACATGTAGATATCTCATGTATGATACATCAGAATCATCAATTGTTATCAACCGGGATCTGAAAATAGAAGAAAAGAAAGATTGCACTATTTTTTCATTGCAAAATAACATAAAATAATAGAGAGAACTCCAAGGGGATCACGATCCTCAGCAGTTGAAATTTCAATTGCAAATGATCTTAGCCATTAAAAAAATATAACTTCTAAATAGACAAAAAGAACTTTATAGACATAGGATTGATCTGCTGGCCAAGCAGTTACAAAATTAACTGCAGAGAAATCAAATCTAAGGGTTTCCCTTTACAGATGATTTCTCATTTTACAAAGAGCAAAACTCAATTCTCAGATACCAGATAGAATGCCTCTTCCCTTACATCCTCGTCTATTTATTTACCTCTCAAATCTCTAACTGACTAACCTTTCAGCTAACTATAATAACTCCTAATTTCCTAACTACTAACAGCAACAGTGTCTTCTTTGAGCTTTTTTGTTTTCCTTTTTTTTTTCCTGATAAGGTTAAAGTTGATAGTATCCTCACTAATACTCTTATCAACTCCTTGCAAATGCCCCTCGACTGATTCATCAACAAGCCCCAAAGACACAACTTTATCACCTAATTTATGGGCACCATCTTTTCAAGCATATTCAATCATATTCCCTGCATCTTCTAACAATTTTAAGCCTCAATTATTTATATACACTAGTCTACTGCAACTTTTAGACTTGGCCAGAGAAAAACATCGAGTTTTGCATGGACTGTCATATATGGCAGATTTTTATTCTTAATATGTAGCAATCAGAAGACAAAAACAAAGCAGCAGATTTTTCCCTAAATAAAGAGTCAAATGACTATACAGGCTGAAAATTTCCACACTTGATAAAACATGTATTCCTCTGTTTAGAATTTATAATTGAAAAAAGACAATAATGTTTCACCTCATGTATTGCTCCACCATCTCCATTTTGCACTCTAGTATCCAACGATTTTTCATCATGACCCCATTCCTTGGAAGAACACTGCACACAGAACAGAACAGAACAATCAAAGGAGAATTTACAACCAATGTCTTCTTTTAGCTTTTCTGTTTTTTCCCTGAAAAGCTAAAAAAACTCGTACTTATAAACAGCTATCAGCTAACACTGATACTCTGATTGATCAACCTCTTGTGCCGGCTCCTCAATTGGCTTGTCACCAAGCTCCAAAGGCACAACTTTATCATCTGATTCAAGGGACTGGGAACCATCTTTTCCATCACCATCATTAACAACATTGTTCACCTGAGACTCACCCTGCACACCAAACCAATTCAATTATTATTTTAAAATAATCCTGAATTTGAATTCTCTTATGTTAGTAAATAACATTACAATGTCAAGTTAATATACAAATGAAAAATTAGTGAACCCTACAGATAATGCCTAGTCCTGATGTAACTGTTTTCTGTCATTCTCTATCATTAGGAGAAAAACAAACAATAGGCTATCCTAATCCAAAAAAACCATAAATAAAAGGACATAGTACTCAGACTTGAAATTTCACCTCAGTAATCCATGTAAGAGTTTTGCATTAAATATAATCAAAATAAAACTTTTATCCTAGAATAGTCCCAAAAAGGACAAAACTTAGTCCAGTATTACAAGTACTAGCGATGGTATTTTCTAATCAGAAATAGAATTTAACCTTAATAATATGCATAATTAAAGATTACATAAATATAAATGCATATTATCAAAGTAAAATTTCAATTCTGATTGAAAAACAGTAAAAAAACAGTACCAATGGTACTACTATATCCAAGTTTTGCTCCTCCCCCCTCCCAAAAGAAACACCTTTAAAAATTAAAACCATGTCTAAATTTTGTCCTATATAAAAACACCCAAAAACCTTAACTGAAACTCCGATTGGAGAACATCACCAAAATCACATGAAAACCGCATTTAAGTTTTTTTTTTCCTAAATAAAAACCTCCAAATTCACTTAGAAATGTTGGCTAAACTATTACCTCTGCCTGAGCAGGCTTCATCTCCATCCCAAGAGGCTTCCCCTTCACGACAATAGTCGGAAGCCGATCAGGATCCCAGCCCAAAACCTTGCACACGGCCAGCCCAAAGCCCCTGTGGGCCTGTTTCTTCAAAGTCTTCATAATGGACATGGAATGCTGCACAAGCCCAACGCAATCCTTAAACCTCTTCCCAGCTTTCTTCTTCCCAATTGCACTGCACACCATGCAACAAAACTCTCCACTTTCATAACTCCTCTGGTAATACCCCCTTAATTCATGGTCCTCCAAGAACACCCCCTCAAAGAACTCCTCAAACTCCTCCCACCCATCATCACCATCATCATAATCATCACCATCATCATCATCATCATCATCATTATAACTCGATAAAAACTTCTTGAAAGCCCCGCACGCTTTCTGCTGCGCTTTCATCGCAAGAAGCCTCTCGTTCCCTTCCAGAGGCGCCTCAGGAGGGGGGGCTGGGCCGGGCTTCGGCGCGGCCCAACTGGGAGCTGGGGTGGGGTCGGGCCGAACCGGGACGGGCCATGCCGGGCCTGGGTCGGGCCGTGCAACATTCTCCTCGGGGCTATTTCTTTTGCGCTTCTTGAAGGTAGTGGAGGGGACTGTGGGGAGTGATCTGGTGTGGGCGGGTGCAGGTTGTGGATGAGGACGAAGGTGCCACGTGTGTTGGGGGATGTAGGGTTGATGAATAACGGGGTTTTGTGGCGGTGGTGGAGGGCCTTGGTGCCACAGAGAGTGAAGATAAATCACTTCGTCTCTTAGTCTCTCTGCATCGTAGGGATTCATCGTGTTTCTTTTTTTTTTTTTTCTGGTTTGAAATTTGAACCAATACACAGAAGATTGAAAGTTTGAAATGTGTTGTTGTAAATTGGGGCACAAACAAACTAACCCACGATTCAGTTCTGATTTCGCTAGAAACGATTCTTGCCACGGCGAATTGAGGTTTCAAATTCTGCTTATTCTTTACATTTTCCCTTTGGTTTGGAAGTTGCAAATGACAGTGCATTACATCTTCGAGTTTTACTTTACTAAATACTAAAGTAACTTTTCTAACAATAATAAAATAATTGTTCAATTTTATCTTGTGTTATTATTTGAAGTCTACAAATGTTTTTTAAAAAAATAATATTAGATTGTTGAAACTCGAAAAGATTTTATTATAAAGAATATTTGGGTGTTAAAATTTTTTAGAAGATTCATTATTTAAATAATATTTAGATAATTATTTGAAGAGATAAGTCAAATAATATTTAGGTTAAAACTCTTATTTGGTTCTTTATAATAATTTTTTTATTTCATTTTAATTCCACTTTAATTTTTAGTTTCAATTTGGTTTCCAATAATTTAAATTATTACAATTTGGGATTTTCGTTCAAATGATTTAAACGAAGTTAACGGTTGGTCACGTAGATGTCAGGTGTATGCCACGTAGATGCATAGGTGGACGCCAAATTCCATGAATACACCTGGAACCAGAATGACCCGTTCTGAAACTAGAACAGTCTGTTATGCTTGCACATGTTATGTGTTAATTTTGCAACTAGAACGGGTCGTTCCAAATGCAAATTTAACACACCATGAGTGCATCAGAACGGTCGTTCTGAAACCAGAACGGGTTGTTCTGGTGTTAGAACAGCCCGTTCTGGATTCAGAACGGCCCGTTCCAGAACTCCAACTTCATGCATGCGTTGACCAAAATGTCGCAATGTGATTCAAAAATTGAAAATAAAAATTCATAACATATCATAAATTCAAAGACAGAAACATGGTTTAGAAACTGAAAATAAAAATTCAGAACATAACATATACTAAAAAAGTTCAAAGAAATTACTGAGAAAGGAAATCATCTGGGTAATGCTGAAGGAAAACCCTAAACCACAAAAATTCAGGTTGTACCTCATCAAGAACAGGTTGTTATTGTTGGGCTACATCGTCAATGACTTCAAGGGAAAGCATCATTTTGTTTCATCCTTGACTGTATAGTGTCAATTTGGTAGTAAGTGGTTCACTCCAGTTTGACTAACAATGAAATAAAACATGCTACCATTATCCTTAGTAATACACTGCATCGTCCTTAATAATACACTGTATAGCCCAAATGTTTAGCAATTGAAATTATCAATCCCCATTGACAATATTACCAAATATAGTGTTTGAAATGTTTTATACCTTGGATCTTTTTCCTTGCATGATTCACAACCGTGAACGATAGTCATTAACCATTCTGGAACCAGAATGGCTCGTTCTGAAACCAGAACGGCCCGTTCTGGTTACACTATTAGTGTGTAAATTTTACATCTGGAACGGCCCGTTCCAGGTACAAATTTACACACCAAGAGTGCAACTAGAACGGGCCGTTCTGGTTCCAGGTGTATTCAATAAATTTGGCATCCATCTACGTGGCATCTACCTGGCATCCACGTGGCCAACAGTTAACTCCGTTTAAATCATTTTGACAGAAGTACTAAATTGCAATAATTTAAATTATTGGAGACCAAATTAAAATCAAAAATTAAAGTGGGATTAAATTGAAACAAAAAAAATATTATAAGGGATCAAATATGGATTTTAACCTAATATTTAAGTTGAGTTAAAAATAGTTTGTAAAACAATACTTTTATCTTTGTAAAAGATAGTGAAACTTGATTAGGATAATTAAGAATTGGACGTAGTTGCTGTGATTAAGGTAAATCAATATAAAAATATTGTATATTTTTTGCTCTTGACTCTTTGTCTGCACTTAAGGTTTTTGATATTATGTCACTATTTTAAAAGAGTGTTGAAGTTTTTGATTAGCATTATTCAATCCCCTTCTAATATTTTTCTTTTTTCTACAATTTGGTATCAAAGTTCAGCCTTTGACAAAGTCGAGTATCTAATTGTGATAAAGGAAAAGATTCTTAGTTGAAAGCAGTGAAGATCACTACTTGCCTAAGAGAGCTTCTCTTATAAGGTCACTAGTTTTTAACGTAGAAAACTGCCCATATTGGAAAGGCAAGATGGAAATGTTTATCAAGTCTACCCAATACCATCTCTAGAAAATCATCATAGTCGGTGGTGATGCTCTTGTAACCAAACTAGAAAATGAGTACACACAAGAAGACTACAACATCTTGTAGCTTAACACAAAGGCAAGATACATTTTAGCTTATTCATTGTCCAGAACGATGTACAAGTTATACAGTTGCAAGACTGTTAAAGAAATGTGAGAAGTCATCAAGTTAACTTATGAGAGTACTAAAGATGTAAGGCTTAAACAAGCTACTACTCTTCAAAGACACTATGAGTTGTTCTCTATGAAGGAGAACAAAATTATTGATAAGATGTTTGAAAGATTCCAAACCATTCTCAATGTGTTAAAATCCCTGAGAATTGAGTTTTCTAAAGCTCAGAAAAATCTCGAGATCTTGGATAACCTTCCAAAGATTTGGGAACCAGAGGTCACCATTATATTAGAAGCTCATGACCTTAGAACTCTTACAGTGGATGAACTTCTGTTAGCCTCGAGGGTTCATCAAATTCATATGAAAAGCAAGGATCATTTGAGAGCTAATGATTTTATTGCTCCAAGGACTAGTGAAACTATTAAGAAGAGGGATAAGGGCAAAGTTTTAAAAGCTGAGTTTGAGCACAACAGTTTAGATGGGGTTTTAAAGGCTCAATGGATGACGAGATATCTCTTGTGTCAAAGATATTTAAGAACATGATGAAAAAGAAAGGAAGAGTGATGAGTTTCCACAAAAAGAAGGATAGGTTCTAAAGACTTGTTCAAGAAGAAGGTAGAAAGGTCATATGTTATGAGTGTAAAAAGCCTGGACGCATGACAACTAAATGCCGTACACTTAAAAAGTGATGGACCAACAAAGAGGAAGGCCAAGAAAATTCTAATGGTCACTTGGAAAGATCTGGACTAAACAAGATTGAAGGTAAAAATTAACTCTGATTCTTGTCATAGTTCTTTTGAAAGTTTTGATGAAGAGAAAATGTCTTGTGAAACTCTTATGGAAGACTCTCACATGATCACTCTTGCGTACAAAAAGCTAAAAGAAAAATGAAAATTATTACAAATAGAAAATGAAAAACTCAAGAATGATTTGTTAGACACTACAGAGAGATCCAAACTCTTAAGCACAAAATCATAAGTAATGATCCACCTAAGGTTACAACATTGCAAGCTAAAAATAAACAACTTAGGAAAGATCTTGCTAAGTCTGTGGATGGATCTTCCAAAATGAATATGTTTTTAAAGCATAGAAATCGGTCACATGACAAAAGTGGTCATGGGTTTGATAAAACGGGATCAAAGACATCATTATCTAAACCTAAAACTATTATTTGTAATATCTAAAAAGCAATCATCCTCCTAGCAGATGCAAAAACAAAAAGAAATATCGAAGAATGTTTAAGGTCAATGGTACTAACAAAAAAGGAAAAAAAAGGATTTGGGCTCTAAGGTCTTAAACAATTTCAGTTGTGGATATCCTTAGTGAGAAAAAGAAAGGATTCATAGTTGTACCTTAATAGTGGCTACTCATGACACATGACAAAAAAAAGGTCTATATTCCTAGACTTTTAACCTCATGAAGGAACAATCACATTTGGAGGTAGTGGTAAAGGAAAGATCAAAGGTATATGTGTAACGACCCGGCTGGTCACTACACACACACCACTGTTTTTATTTTACAAGAATTAAGTATTAAATCATCTTGAATTTATATAAAATTTTGTATATATGAGCTAAGAGTAAAAAACTTTCAATCTATCGGTTGAATTTATAAAATTCACATTTAAGATGAAGTTATTGAGCGGTGTAATACTTAGTAAAAGTTACACCAGTGTTATTATAACCCTTCTCTTTTAAAATATTATTTTTATAAATTAAATGTTAATATTTTAAATAAATTATTAATTAACTTAATATATTTATTCATCTTAAATCTAAGATATAAAATTCAAAAAATGTATTTATTCTTGTTTTATTTTCTAATTATCAATCATTAATAAAATGCTAATTTTAAATCTTATTTAATTATATCATAATATTTTTATATCAAATTTAAAACTAGATATTAGTATGTTATTTTTTATTATCATTAATTTATAAAAATAAAGAATTTAAAATGACAATTTTTAATAATATTTTTTTTACCAAATATTTTTTACATCACTTAGAGCATACAAAATTTTGCCCTACATTCTACCAAGGTTATCTATGAAAAATTCGTAGGTAACGTTATCTACGGAAAGTTTATCCATAGATAACGTTATCTACGGAAATCGTAGCGGTGACCCTAACGATGATAGCGGACTTACGGTAGGCCAGCCGAGTTGCCAACTTGTCCCTCACCAATCTTCTGACTCCGTCAAAGGTTTACCAACCTAACCAAGCAGTAAGCTTATTATTGCCGAGCTCCTCAGCCCGACCATGAAACATGGACCTCGGAACACCACATCGGCCCAAAGAGGCCACGTCATCAAACAAATAAAAATACAATCTTGTCACCGCGCCGCCCACGCGTTACGGGAACGAGGTGACAGTTATGACACATGGCGTCATGAAAAATAGGCGTACGCGAAAAGTCACGACCCCTTGTCGAGCTCGGTCTTAACTCCTCGACCTACGGTCTTCGGAGCTCGGGGGGCTAGTGTACTATTCGTACCGCTATGCCGAGCTCGAGCTCGTCATCACAACGTGGAGTGACCTCGGACACACGCTAGGCGACATCAACTCACTATCCAATTAGGTCATAAACTGATCTCGGGCCCAAGGCCTAACAAAACCCTAATACACACAAAGGTACGTGCATTAATTATACGAGACTCATACACCCACAAACACTAACTTTAGCATCAGAGTCTCTTTTGCAGGTACCACCCCATCTTGGAGCAACAAGCGTACCAGTGAAGGAGGCTCACCGATCTTACCCAGCGGATCATCCCTACCTCGGATTCCCGGTAAGAACATTTGGCGCCCATCGTGAAGCCGATCAAGACAGCTCTTACAGGCCACGCTTATGGTATTCACCCGAAGCCATAGTAGACGCGTAACAGACGACGCAGATCGCACGACAAGCATGGACAACGAAGCAGCATTGAGAAGGCTGATCGAACAAGTTGAGCAGATGAGGCAACAACACATTGCCAATCTGCAAAACATTCACGCCAAGCACGAAACTGACCTAGCGGCGCTGCGTACCGCGAATGAGGCTGACCTAGCAGCGCTGCGCGCCGAGATGTAAAACTACACCAAATTAGTCGTTTAGCCTATTATTGAAATAAATCGAATCTAGTTAAGATTTAAGAGGATCTTTCCCTTTTTTTATTTGGCGCGAAACTCACAAACAAACCTATGCGTTTCGCGATTTCGCCCAAATTACTCTCACTCAGACACTCTGCTCCCTCGTTCTACACCCAACCGTTATGGAATCATTCCATGCTTCGAATCCCTAGATTCTTCGCCGTCAACGTCCGCAACCCTAACCCTCCCTCCCTTCTCTCCGTCTCCGCCACCGTCGCGGCGTCTCCTCCTCCGTCGCGAAACCGAACTCCGCTGCTCCGGATGGCGCCACGCGATTCGATGAAGGCGGAGTACGCGAAATCGAACCGGTCATCGTGCAAGGCGTGCTCCGAAGCCATCGAAGCCAAGTCCCTGAGGTTGGCTTCGGTCTCCAAGGGCAAGGGTCCCTACGACGTCGTCAAGTGGCACCACCTTCGTTGCTTCCCTCTATCCTCGCATTCTCACTCCGCTCCTGAGGCTATTGAAGGATTTTCCTCCTTGAAGGTTTCCAATCTCTTCTCTTGGTTTTCCCCCTTTCAAACACTGCCCTGTACTTTTGTTTTTAACATGTTAGAAAAATGAATAGCTGCATTATGAATGATACACACATATTGTAGGGATAAGTTTGCGGTGTAATTCGGGCATGCTTGGTTTGAATACATTTAGGATTAGTTTTGTAAGGTTGAGTTATGCTCTTAACTCACTTTCTTGAAATGGTGTCAAAGTCATGTCCTAGCAGTGGATTGTTGTTAGACTTATTAGGTCATCTGCTATCAGGGTCGCTATATGCCACCCGCAGAAGTCCGGTCCTGCAAAATTTCGTGTTTGAGATGTGCACTCCTCAGTGTGAGGAGGGCATGCTTGAGATTGTTGTTGGGCTTATAAGGTCACCTGCTACCGGGCCATTATCGTGCCACCCACAGATGTCTGGTTTTGTAAAACTTCACGTTTGAGATGTGCATTTCTCATTGTGAGGGGGGCATGCTTTGAATACATTTAGGATGGGTTTGGATAACCTTTTATTGAAAGACACCTAAGAGGAAAAAAATAAGAAGAAAAATCAAAATAAATTTCTCTACAAGTTAAAACTAGGTTATGCTTTAGTTAAAAATAAGATTTTGGAAAAGTTAATAAAGAGAGCTTCTAAAAAATTAGCTTATGTATAAACTAATTTTAGTTTATGGGGGAAACTTGTTTCATTTTTTCTTCTAAGTTTTTTTTTCTTCTAGAAGTGTTTCTTGTGAAAAGTGTTCATTACATATTTTTGTAACATATATTTTTTATTATTAACTTAAATGAGAAGCAATAAAGTCCACTAAAAATAGCTAGATAGTTGGGTTCCTTAAATATGTTAAAAGACTTTGATTGTGGGTTCAATTCCGTAGCTGTGTGAATGGAGAATATCTATCGGTTTGTAGGTGCAAACCAAAAAAACTAAAATAAGGATGCTAATAAAACATACTTTTTATTGTTGACAACTCTTGTGGCATTTTATTTTTTATTTTCATGATTAGTAACCAGGAAGTTTAAGTTGAGTGCATGACATTACGTGGCTTTGCTTGAAGAATTGGGTTGGGGTTTATTTGACATTTTAGGGGGGGGGGGATTAATAGTATTTTAACCACAAACTAGTAACCTGCTTGATGCTTTCATTCTACTTAAAAGCTTTGGAGATTTTCATTATTTTAAATCTTTTTTATTGTCTTGTTTTATCTTTGTAGATTAGTGACCAGGAAGCTCTGAAGAAGTTATTTGCTGAAAATGACAAGGCTGAAGAGAAGGTGAGAACCCAATTTGATTGATGTGTTTCTCTTTTTATTATTTTAATTTTTATTCTGTATTTTATTGTTTTAACTTGTCTGCATTTTTAAGAGTAAAACTTTGTTTCATTCACGCTGGTTGTGTGTCACGCTTCTTTAATAGGTTCATAAAGTAGTGGAAAATGTACAAAATGAAGTGCAAGAAACTGAAGAAGGTATTTCAAAGAAAAGGAAGGTAAGCCCATACACTGTCAAAGAATTTTTGGAGTTTCAAATGCTATTCTGTATCTTTTTGTTTTAACTTTGTCTGCATTTTTAAGAGTAAACAAACTCTGTTTCCTTTGGAATTTTGTCCCAACTAATTCACCGTGGTTGTGTGTTATGCTTCTTTAATAGGTTCATAAAGTTGTGGAAAGTGTACAAAATGAATCACAAGAGACTGAAGAAGGTGATTTAAGGAAAGGAAAGGTAAGCATGCACATTGTCAAAAAAAAAAAAAAAAATTTGGAGTGTCAAATGCTAGGGCTTGATAATTATTCTGTATCTTTGTTGCTTTTGTAAACATTCTTCTGAGATCTACCAGATCCTTGTCCTTTACAAGTCTGTCTGATCACTTGACCATATATGGCTGTATCTGTGTGAGGAAGCCAATCAATTTTCATCTTATTCGGTCATTCCTCAATATTCAAGGACATGGTGCAATTGATGGCCATGTCAATGATTGTTCTCTTTGGAATTTGGATGCCCATTGTACACCCCCTCTTCTGGTAGCTCACATTGGGAACTGACCACCCCCAAATCATGATGATCATTGCTTACATTCTGATCTGGTAACACAAGCAAAGTATTCAGGTTGTTTATTTAATATCCCATTAAGTAATCAACTTACCTGTGGATTTAGCATATGGTACCTGGATAATGCTATTGGTTCATTAATGGGTTGCCCTTGAAAACAGTTGTTATAACATGAATCACCTGCTTGTTTAAAGTTCAAATTGAGCTCCTCTGACAGGTCCAGTATCAGATTTTAATTCTGATCATGAAAATAATAATCAGGACAATCACAAGTGGGAATACATTTGGATGGGATATTCTCTATTTAGTCCATTGCACAAGCAATTAACCGGGACTTTCTATGTTCTGAAGAGCTCCGGGCATAACAAGTTTTAGAAATCATTGCCTGCCACGTTCGAGGTGATTGTTTTAGCCGCTGTGCTAAAGGAAAGAGCATGGGCTCATGGTGCTAGAGAGGCTTTGATGGCAACCCTCCTTGCATGGATTGAGTTAAGAGCGGCGCGCAGCGCTGCTAGGTCAGCCTCATTCGCGGTACGCAGCGCCGCTAGGTCAGTTTCGTGCTTGGCGTGAATGTTTTGCAGATTGGCAATGTGTTGTTGCCTCATCTGCTCAACTTGTTCGATCAGCCTTCTCAATGCTGCTTCGTTGTCCATGCTTGTCGTGCGATCTGCGTCGTCTGTTACGCGTCTACTATGGCTTCGGGTGAATACCATAAGCGTGGCCTGTAAGAGCTGTCTTGATCGGCTTCACGATGGGCGCCAAATGTTCTTACCGGGAATCCGAGGTAGGGATGATCCGCTGGGTAAGATCGGTGAGCCTCCTTCACTGGTACGCTTGTTGCTCCAAGATGGGGTGGTACCTGCAAAAGAGACTCTGATGCTAAAGTTAGTGTTTGTGGGTGTATGAGTCTCGTATAATTAATGCACGTACCTTTGTGTGTATTAGGGTTTTGTTAGGCCTTGGGCCCGAGATCAGTTTATGACCTAATTGGATAGTGAGTTGATGTCGCCTAGCGTGTGTCCGAGGTCACTCCACGTTGTGATGACGAGCTCGAGCTCGGCATAGCGGTACGAATAGTACACTAGCCCCCCGAGCTCCGAAGACCGTAGGTCGAGGAGTTAAGACCGAGCTCGACAAGGGGTCGTGACTTTTCGCGTACGCCTATTTTTCATGACGCCATGTGTCATAACTGTCACCTCGTTCCCGTAACGCGTGGGCGGCGCGGTGACAAGATTGTATTTTTATTTGTTTGATGACGTGGCCTCTTTGGGCCGATGTGGTGTTCCGAGGTCCATGTTTCATGGTCGGGCTGAGGAGCTCGGCAATAATAAGCTTACTGCTTGGTTAGGTTGGTAAACCTTTGACGGAGTCAGAAGATTGGTGAGGGACAAGTTGGCAACTCGGCTGGCCTACCGTAAGTCCGCTATCATCGTTAGGGTCACCGCATCCGAGGTATTGTCCGTTTTGGCGCTCGTTGGGCTGTCACGGTTTTGACCTTGAAAAGGCTCCTCGGTGGGTTAAGGAGGAAGGGTGTTTATAAACTACCATTAGCCTCGACTCCTAAGCGATGTGGAACTTTTAGGCATACCGGAACAAGCCCCCCAGTCGATGCTAAGGAGCAAGAGTGGCCTAGGCCCTCCTTCTAGTGCCAATATTCCTACCGTAAGTCCGCTGTCATCGTTAGGGTCACCGCATCCGAGGTATTATCCGCTTTGGTGCTCATTGGGCCGTCACGGTTTTGTCCTTGAAAAGGCGTCTCGGTGGGTTAAGGAGGAAGGGTGTTTATAAACTACCCTTCTGGTATGCCTAAAAGTCCCACATCGCTTAGGAGTCGAGGCTAAGGGTAGTTTATAAACACCTTCCTCCTTAACCCACCGAGGCGCCTTTTCAAGGACAAAATCGTGACGGCCCAACGAGCACCAAAGCGGATAATACCTCAGATGCGGTGACCCTAATGATGACAGCGGACTTACGGTAGGAACATTGGTGCTAGAAAGAGGGCACAGGCCACTCTTGCCCCTTAGCATTGACTGGGGGGCTTGTTCCGGTATGCCTAAAAATCCCACATCGCTTAGGAGTCGATGCTAAGGGTAGTTTATAAATACTCTTCCTCCTTAACCCACCGAGGTGCCTTTTCAAGGACAAAACCGTGACGGCCCAACGAGCGCCAAAGCGGACAATACCTCGGATGCGGTGACCCTAACGATGACAGCGGACTTACGGTAGGAACATTGGCGCTAGAAG